CTATACATCCTAAAATAACTACACAATGTAAATAAGCAATAAAAGTGATGAAATAAATGACAAAGTCTATCTTACAAGACGAGATATGCATGTAATCTACTCTAACCATTACCAAACACGTAGAACATGATCAAGTAATCTAAAAATGAGAGTAAAGAAGTGAGTACCTATGGTATGGCAGTCATATCGAGGAAAAAATGCAAGAAATGCTTCCCTAAAGCCTAGATTGTTGTTTTGCTTTGGTTTTTCTGACTTATAATGTGTATTAGGCATTGTTTTAATGACGGTGCTTGTGTGAGTTTTGAAGCTAAGTGTTTGTGAGGTGAAAGCAGTAAAGTTCAGTAGGTTATGTTATGTATCCCTTTAAAAGGTAAGAAGGGGTATATATTGGTTTAGGATCCTTGGGGGCATATACACATTAGGTTGAAACCTTAATGTATATACACACAGTCGCGTGATGCTCCTTCTCAAAAAGGCAACAGGAATATTTTGAAAATTGAATCTGTATGTACTGAGTACACATACGAGACTGCACGTTCACATGTGCAGCCTTGAACCTGTAATGAGATCACAAGGCGGATGCGCCTATCGAGCTAGCCGCTTGGATATTAGGTTAATGAAGTAGACACTTCCACCACCACCACCACCACCACCACCACCACCACCACTATTCAACCATAAGTGATTAGTTTGACTTATTGTGGAGAAATACGCCTATCGAGCTAGCCGCCTAGATATTGGGCTAGTGAAGTTAGACACTTCCACCACCACCCATCCGACCATATATCATTAGTTTGACTTATGTGGAGGAATGCGTCTATCGAGCTAGCTGCTTGGATATTAGGCTAATGAAGTAAACACTTTCACCACCACCCATTTTGATCATAGGTGATTAGTTTTAACTTATGTGGAGGAACGCATCTATCGAACTAGCCGCTTGGATATTAGGATAATAAAGTAAACACTTCCACCACAACCCATTTGATTATAGGTGATTAATTTGATTTATGTGGGAGAATACGTCTATCGAGCTAGCTGCTTGGATATTGGGCTAGTGAAGTAGACACTTCCACCACCACTCATCCGACCATATATGATTAGTTTGACTTATGGAAAGAATGCATCTATCGAGCTAGTTGCTTGGATTATTAGGCTAATGAAGTAGATACTTCCACCACCACCCATTTGATCATAAGTGATTAGTTTGACTTATGCATCTATCGAACCAGCCGCTTGGATATTGAAGCTAATGAAGTAGACACTTCCACCACCAACCCATTCGACCAAAGGTGTTTAGTTTGACTTATGTGGAGGAATGCGTCTATCAAGATAGCCGCTTGGTTATTAGGCTAATGAAGTAGACATTTCTACAACTACCCATTTGATCATAGGTGATTAGTTTGACTTATGTGGAAGAATACGTCTATCGAGCTAGCTGCTTTGATATTGGGCTAGTGAAGTAGACACTTCCCCCACCACCTATCCGACCATAGATAATTAATTTGACTTATATGGAGGAATACGTCTATCGAGCTAGTCGCTTGGATATTAGGCTACTGAAATAGACACTATCCACTGCCACCCAGTTGATCATAGGTGATTAGTTTGATTTATGTGGGAGAATGTGGTCTATCAAACTAGCCGCTTGATATTGGGTTAATAAAGTAGACACTTCCACCACCACCCATTCGATCATAGGTGATTAGTTTGATTTATGCGGGAGAATGTGTCTATCAAACTAGCCGCTTGGATATTGGGTTAATAAAGTAGACACTTCCACCACCACCCATTCGATCATAGATGATTAGTTTTGACTTATGTGGAGAAAATGCGTCTATCGATCTAGTCGCTTGGATATTAGGCTAATGAAGTAGACACTTCCACTACCCACCCTTTTAATCATAAGTGATTAGTTTGACTTATGTGGGAGAATGCGTCTATTGAGCTAGCCGCCTCGATATTGGGCTAGTGAAGTAGATACTTCATCACCAACCATCGCGACCATAGGTGATTAGTTTGACTTATGTGGAGGAATGTGTCTATTGAGCCAGTAGATTGGATACTACTCTAACGAAGTAGACACTTCTACTACCACCAATTTGATCATAGGTGATTAGTTTGACTTATGTGGGAGAATGCGTCTATCGAACCTGCTACTCGGATATTGGGCTAATGAAGTACACATTTCAGCACCACCCATTCGACCATAGGTGATTAGTTTGACTTATGTGGAGTAATGCCTCTATCGATCTAGCTACTTAGATATTAGGCTAATGAAGTAACACTTCCACCACCACCCATTAGTTTGACTTATGCGGGCGAATGTATCTATCGATACAACCGCCTGGATATTAGTGCTAAAAAAGAAGACACTTCCACCACCACCCATTTGATCATAGGTGATTAAGTTTGAGTTATGTGGAGGAATGCGCCTATCGAGCTAGTCGTCTTGATGTTGGGATGTGATATAGCATTTTCACTACACCCATTCGACCATAGGTGATTATTTTGACTCATGTCATGATCTATAAGTCTCTCCACAACACATGCATTTTTTTTTAATTGTTTGGCTTTGTCACTCGGTGATAGTGTACTTCAAGACTTTTGAGAAGGAATGCTTAACCATTCTCAAACACTCTAGTGACGCTAATTGAGAAGGGGACCATTCTTCCAATTTGCCCTCCTTTCTTTGGTGTTTGGGGTTTGAAGTTTGAATGCTACGTATCTCGAATTTGATCTTGCCTCGACTAGATCAAATTTTGTTTTACTGGTTGTTCGGCCGGTGGTTTGGTAAAGAGGCTGATAGCCGCGGTATTACAAAGTGACAACCGCGATATACACAGTGCTTCACTAATCGTCCAAGTAATTGTCCGGTCGATCGACCGGTGAACACAAATTCGTATCATTCACTCCTGAAAACTCTCAAAACCTAAAATATTTTGAAGATAAATATTCATAATATAATACATCACAATAGATGAAATGTAAAAGACTGTCAGGTAGGAAGTCATTGTCACTTTGACAAACCTGAAATAAACAATTAATAATCAAATAAACAATAAACTCAAAACATCAACTAATTGTTAAAGTTTCTATAATGATTTTATTTTAGCAAGGTCCAAAGACCTGTCACGTCGAGCATGGTACCCACGCTCTCCGCCACCAAGATAGCTGCATAGAAAAGATAAACAAATCATATCGAGAGGGTGGGAAACAATTTGGAAACAATTTCTTCATCGTCCAAAGATTATACATAGATTTCACAGTTTAAATCAACTTCGAAAACAATTTTTCACTTTCAAAATTTGATAATGTGAATGCCAGAAATAGTTATGACAACCAAAATAAATATTTTAAAAATGAAAGAACTTCTGGTTATTTATAATCACATAACAATAAACAAATTAATTATTCAAACATTGTTACAGAAAATATTTATCTCAATATGAATGGTTTGCAACTTAATTTCTCTTAATTATCTCAAAAAAAGAAAAGTTAGGGTAAATTATTAATATGTCTAATAGTTAGACTTAATTCCCATCAATCTATTAAAATAAGTCTTGATAAAATTGTGGCTCAAATATTTTTTTGTGACTATTTTTTACATACGTCGCTAAATTTTGACAAACTAGTGACTATTTTTTCATAATTTTTATAAATTATCGCTAAAACTTAAAATTAGTGACATTTTTTATGACAAATTTTTTTCATAGGACACTGCTGGAAAAATGACTTTTAGAGGCGTTTTTAAAAACGCCGCTATATGTCTGAAAAACCCCGCTAATTCCTTTGTGACGCTTACACCAAACGCCGACGACGAGGCCGTCGCTATAGGCTTATGGCACTTTAAAAACGTCGTGAGTATTAGTAAAGCGGCTAAACGCTGCTAAATGTGACAACTAAACAGTAACATGACATCACACAGGTATTCAGCGACGCTTCAAAAACGTTGTAATAGCTTTTTTGTTATTTTAAAAATATACCTATAGTGGCGTTTGAAAAACGCGCGATAGATTCAATTTTTTTTTTTAAATAGATTCAATTTTTTTTTTACTAATTCTGTGAGATGTAACTTAAAAAAAAACATGTAAAATAGCAATAATGAATAAAACTTTATATAGACATATATTTGTTTAATTACTATTCCCTCACATTAATAGTACCCAATACAACATCCTTCATGAAAAAAATCCAACAAGTTCAATTCCAAAAACCAAGCAGCCACCTCATGCACAGTTTCACATCATCAACAACAACTAATATAGAAGGCAATTAGAATTGTCTTAAAACACAAATTGACTCTCTCTGTAAAACATATCACCATCTACATCTAAACAACAACTATCTACGAAGAAATTTAATCTCCATTGGTACAAATAACAGATATTGTGAAACACTATATTCATCATCACAACGTTTCTAGATTGAGATTCTGAAACTATTACTAGGACAGCCCGGAGGAACCCATGCTTCCAGATTCACAATTCCTGTATTAAGAACAAAATGTTCCTTAGAAATGCTATCAGGCAATGTAGCAACTCAATAATGAATACACTATACCAATACATAAAGAAATGGAAATAAAATGGTCCTAGTCCTATATGTACCAGGTTGCAACTTGTAAGAATGGGAACATGAATCCTATGTATCTCATAAACCTCAAACCATCTTCCCGTCCAATAAGCATACCAAAATTTATAGTTGGAATAATGGGTACAGACCTAACTTTAAGGCATTATTTCAAGTTCAAACCACAACCTTAAGGTTGATATGCTGAGTTTTAACAAAGGGAGCTTCCATCCACCTCACAGTAAAAGAAAGTTGCACATGCACAATTCAGAGAGAGAAACATAAGTTTAAACCTTTCTGACCCTCTTACAAAAACAGAAAGCATATTTGACATTATGAAAATCTGCATCCAGGTGCATTTTCTCATATGTCATAGTGAGGCACAGCATGGCGTCAGCAAGCCCGACCCTTTACATGTTGATTAGCAAGCTTATTACACCTGTGGACCTGCAACATCGATTTATGGGATTTTAAAGATACCGGTAAAGCATCTTTACAAAATTTGGAAAGAGTGGCAATCCAAGAGGTTATCTTTTAAGCACAACCAAAATAAACCCTAGCAAATTTTGTGCACTCTACTCCAAACAAAACACAATCACCCCCAAGCCTTTCGCTTCTAATTAAAAGATAACTAGATACCAACAATTGGGCTTGTGCACTCTACCCCAAACATTAACAGAGTCACCTCCAAACATAAACTTTGGTTCTATTTAAACAGATAACTAGACACCAAACATTTGGGCAACAAACAAGAGAAAGCATCAATCAATTTCAATTTTCAAACAACTGATGTACCATACCCATGATAAGTAATTGGAAGTTAATATTTTGCAATGAATAAACCAGTTGACTCAGTCAATTCCATATTCAGATGGTATTTTCTTATTTACAATCAGTTTCAGGATCTTAAAAGCCCAACTCAAGTTCAACCAATGGTAGACAAATAAGAATTACAATTGTTAGGGGAAAAGTATTGATCTAAAGGGAAGGGGCCAATTAACACAGAATCATTTATAGTATCCCATCAAGTAAACTATACACCAAAGTCAATTAGGCAAAAAATATTTTGTAACAAAGTCTATGCAAGAAAATAGATAAATCCATTTGAAATAACTAGACCATAAAACTCGAAAAAAACGAGGCCATTAAAGTCTCATGAAAACGATACCAATTCCTTGCCAAGCTCGACATCATCTTGGTATTTGCTCTGCTTGCCTTGACTACTCCCACAAAAGACACAAATACTCTTGAACACACAAAGATATGTACACACATAGCTAATAAACACAAACTTAACTTAACAAGATATCATAACATTAAAAACAAAACTTA